TACACAAAAACTACCATGACTGATGTTTAATTTGTGCCTTTTGATTACCAGCCTCTGAGGCATCCCCTTCCAATTTCCCCCAAAAGTTGAAACATGACAACACTGAAAATGAATAATATTAATCATTTAGCATAACTATAAATTAATATAATAATCTAGCATGTCTTATGGCTCTGGCACCGTTCTGGGTGATTAAGACAAAAAGTCTATTTTGTCAATTTCAGAAATAATCATTTACATTTGAAAATTAAGGTCTATTGAAATGAACTAAGTGTATAAGAATTCTTATTCTTCTTACATGCAACTGAGAACATTGCTAGTGAGAGCACTAAAAGATACTCGCTGTAAGGATATTAGGTAACTTATGAATCAACAGGAAAAACTGGGAATCAGCTCAGTAAATGAGTAAAAACCAAGGCTAGGTAGCAAGAGTCCAGGCTGAGCAATGCCTCAGAAATTATCCTTTGGATTGCTAACACTGAAAATTTGCTGCTGCCACTATTGGACTTTTAATGCCACTGTGAATGACTTACTTGTCTCTGGTGCATCACTCTTACAGAATTAAAAGTATTGGCATGAGCATCAAATGGCTGACTATATGCCAGAAACTGGGGTGAAACTTATTTGAGTCCTCTAAATTTTGTGTTGGGACATGAGTCCATATCTCAAAGCATGACTTGGCCAAAGGTTATTTCCCCAAGAAAGGGCATTCAGATGATTTAGAGACAAAAGCAAACATAAGAACCTGACAAATGTTCACCTACATCCTTTTTCTGATACCAACACTTCTTATTCCCACCAAAAGTTGCTCAATTCTAACATAAGTATTCTTTATAACAACCAGAAAAAGTATACATACAAATTTCTAAAGGAAATAATTCCAAGTCTCATTAGTTACTACATCCTACTTGGAGCCCAGGATTACTGTACAGTGTGCATTACTCTGCAGTTCTATTATGATATTACATTAATATTTTATATATAAGGACTAGGGGAAATGGAGAGGAAGGAAAAACATATTAATGAAACTATGCAAATATATTTGTGACACAACAATGAAAACAATATGGGTAGAGGTTATGATCTTTATTTTTGCATGCATAGTTGACTCTCAAACAATGTGGGAGTTAGAAGGACAGACCCCCTACAAAGTAAAAAAATCCCTGTATAACTTTTGACTCCCCCACAACTCAACTTCTAATAGCCTAGCACTGACCAGAAGCCTTACTGATAATATAAATAGTTGCTAACATAAACAGTTCGTTAATGCATATTTTGTATGTAATATATACTGTATTCTTATGATTAAGTAAGCTAGAGAAAAGAAAATGTTAAGAAAATCATAAGCGAGAATTCATTTGCAGTACTTTACTATAAAAAATCTGTGTATAAATGGACCCACACAGTTGTAAACCATGTTGTTCAAAGGTCAACTATATTTATAAGGCCATAGTTAGAATGTATACCACCTATAAGTGTACCCTATGTCTTCAGCTAACACATCACTAAAACAGATAAGATAAACTTTAGGATAAAACTGGTCACAAGAGGGTCGTCTGGGTGGCTCAGTTGGTTAAGCGTCTGACTTCAGCTCAGGTCACAATCTCATGGTTTGTGAGTTTGAGCCCTGTGTTGGGCTCTGCACTGACAAGGCACTATCCTCAAAAAATGACCACATAATCCAAAAATTCCACTTCTAGGTATTTATAATCAATCAATCAATCAATCAATCAATCCATCATTATATCCAAGAAATATCCACACCACCATTTCCCTTGAGGCATTACTCACAATAGCCAATAACATGGAAATAACCTGAATGTGTAAGACATAGTTGATATATAGTTGATACCTCTTTCTCAGCATCAACATTTCAGAAGAAGCAGTTATTAGTTTCTTACGGCAACAGTACCAGAAGTTTTTACTGAATTTTTCCTCTGTGTGCCCCCTTTTTGTTTCATGCTGCCGAGATTTCTTCCATGCGTTAAGCTGGGAATCTCCAAACTTCCTTTGGTTAATAAGTCTCCACCAAGAGGAAACAGAGCATCGGAGAATATGAATAGAGTTCCAGTCATCTCTGGAACATCTCCATATAGTTCTATGTGTAGGGCTAAAGTTAATGAAAGACTACTGCAACACTTTACAAGCAGGAAGTTGTGTTTCTTGGGAGTGAATGTTTGGGTAAACCTACCAGGTGAAATGTCCATATTTTCATTCTCAATGTTCGTTTCCTCACTATCCAGGAAAGACAACAACACATATGCTGGTATTTTGTGATGACAGCACTCTTACTTTGGGTACCAAGCTCTTTATTGACTAAATCACTATTAACTGATAGCCTGGCATAATTGGTTGGGTTACAAAGCCTTTATTTTAACATCATTGAATTTTCCTTTGGATAATATAAGGAACAAAACAGGTCTTTTTTTTTTTTTTTCAAAACAGGTGTTTTTGATCACAGTACAAGCAGTGATTCAGGAACCCATGATGCTTTTTTCATGTTGTGGCTCAGCCATTTTTAGCATATGTTTCCCAAGGTGGCCAAAGAAGAGAAAGATCATAGGACAGTGCATGGTACACACCTGAAGAGTTGGCAGTCACTTTTACTCAGATTTCATTGGTCAAAATTCAGTCCTGTGCTCCAATTAACTGTGCAAGGGAGGCTGGGAAATATAGACTGTGTCCTACAGAAACAGGAAATAGGTTTGGTGAAAAGCCAGACAGCCTCTGACACAGAGACCTTTTGCAAATAGAATTTATAGGATTTCATATTTCATAAGATGTACTGGGGTAAGAGAAAGCAATAAAAAATATCTTCTAAACTTTTAATATGGAAAACCATTTAGATGGTAATGAATCTATGGACATTTGGGAATATAGAAAAAGAAACAAGATTGAGGAGGGAGGAAATAGTAAATAAAAACACAGTGAATTCCACTTTAGTGTAAGATTTAAAAAAATATTTTAGGTCTTCCAAGCCTAGCATGCGTTTGGAAATATAGGTGGCATACTGTATACTTAAAGATAACTTAGAGATAAAGATTTTTTATTCTTCAAAACAGTTAGTGGCAATAAAGGTCATTAGATTGACCTGGGACAGAGCTTAAATAGAAAAAGAGATAAAAAACAAAACAAAACAAAACAAAACATTGTGTGTAATATAATATCTGCCTTAGTACAAAGTAATAGAAACACAGAGATGAGTATAAAAAGTTTTTTTCTTCAAGAAGCTCACAGGTGGATAGATAGAAATGATCAAGGATATTATTGAGTGATAAAGGTTATAAAAGATAAATATGAAATGGGAAAATAAAGTAAGGTCAACATTCAACAAATTTTACTGATTGAATGTATAAATTATATTCAAATATATCATGCAAAAAAATTCTACTATTTCTTAATGGCATTTGTCTCTCAACTCTTACATAAAAAGGTGACAAATCCTCCTGTTATTACACAGAAAAGACTTCTGTCTCCATTACTACACATTTACCTTTATTAAATGCATACTATGTGTAAGGCATCGTGTTGCATTATGTGTTTTCTTCTCATTGAAGTCTCATAATAATATTATATGACATGGATTGTTCTTTTCATTAAATCCCCCAAAGATATGTATTGTTTCCAAATACAGAATGGAAAACTGGGGTAGCAGAGAGATTATCTAACTTGTCATGGGAACCTATATCTGTCATGCTTTTTACCACCTCACAGTATCTACCTTTGTTCTTTTTGAAGAATAATTAGAAATATCAATATGACTTACTCATTAGTTATCTGCAAATTAACAGGAAAAGTGAGAGCTGGTGCCATGGAATTAAATAGACAGGTATTATTTTACCAAAATTAGGAAAATAGTATAAGCATTTTTTGGCAGTCCAGCATAGAAGCACAAGTGAATAACTGCTGTTGTAAAATACTTAATATTTGCAAATTTACCATAGACTAATAAGAGAATTTTAAAAATAAACACTTAAAAATTTGCATATATAACTGTGAGTATTAAAGAGATATTAAAATTTTTTTTAACATTTATTCATTTTTGAGACAGAGAGAGACAGAGCATGAATGGGGGAAGGTCAGAGAGAGAGGGAGACACAATCTGAAACAGGCTCCAGGCTCTGAGCTGTCAGCACAGAGCCCGACGCGGGTCTCGAACTCATGGACCAATAAACACTTAAAAATTTGCATATATAACTGATGAGTATTAAAGAGATATTTAAAATTTTTTTTAACGTTTATTCAATTTTGAGACAGAAAGAGACAGAGCATGAATGGGGGAAGGTCAGAGAGAGAGGGAGACACAATCTGAAACAGTCTCCAGGCTCTGAGCTGTCAGCACAGAGCCCGACGCGGGTCTCGAACTCACGGACCACGAGATCATGACCTGAGCTGAAGTCGGATGCCCAACCTACTAAGCCACCCAGGCGCCCCAAGTATTAAAGAGATATTTAAATGGCATTAGCTACATTGTATTAAGTGAGAATGTCAAAATAAATCTGAGGCATTTATTTTTCTAGAAAAATGAAAAACTATTGAAAATTAACTTAAATTTTACAAAAAGATTTTATATCTTCTTATATCTCTATTTTTTCTAATTTTATACCTGAATATACATTAGGCTTAAAATTAATATATATATATATATACTAGTTCTGTATACTTTATAAACACAATTATATAACTATGTGTCTTGTCTCTGTCTCTCCTTTCTTCTCTCAAATATATGCAAAAGGCAAATACATCAAGTAAATGTACAAAAATCTTACAATCTCTAAGAAAACAAAAAAGAATGTTTAATTTCCCTTTCATATTTTATATTTTTTAAATTATAATAAGAATGTGAATCACTTATATAATGGTGAAACTTTTATTTTGAAGTAAAAAATTCAGATACTGTTTTAACAAAATAAGGAAGATATAATTAAATATGTGAAAGTAGGTAATGAAACTAATGAAAGTACACAGTGTCTTAATAAAAGTCAGCAACTGGGGCAGAAATTACTATGCCAGAGAAACTGAAAATAGCTTTAGGATTTCTATCCTTGGGATATGAAACAATATAAGTAATGCCTTTGCACTATTTCCTGCAATTAATGAAATAAGTTTTAATTGTTCCTTGGACATCTGGATATATAAGGCAACTTTGGGGGTATCAAGTTAACTTGATTTAAATTAAATTATGATCAAGAAGAGAAATGCTTTATTCTGTATATTTTTAGAATATTTATATACAAATACATCTTATTACATACAGTATTTCTTCTTTAATAGTATTATTTCAAAGTTCTTTAACTAAATATAATAGCCATAATTCAAAGTGACCACAGATGTGGTATGGCATTGGTTCATTTTGTTGTTCCATTGGGAACTTTAAAGACTAAATTCTTTCTCACAAGCGCAACTTTTGTTTTAGCATCTTGAAATCTTTCACATGCTTTTTGAAAGATAATCATATCAATAACAAATTTTTCTTCACAGTGTTTTTTATATGTTTCTTGAGCCCTAAGAGGAAAAAAAGTAATAGAATGAGATATTTTTAAATGACTAAAAGTATAACATTTATTCAGGGTGTTAATATAAAAGTAGATGCCTTTAAAATAGACATATACAAATGGGAAAAAATTAGAACTCCACTTATTTCATAAAATTTTATTATATCAATAATATCCATAATTTATTCAATAATATGCATATCAGGCTAATGTTTCTAAGATTTCTCTTGGCTGTAACATAATTCCCATAAGCCCTGGTATAGATTCCCAAAAAAGCATCGAAATCAGACTATGCTCTGATTTGCAAAACTTTTACTGAAGGCTCACTAAATCCAAGCTTCTTCTAGGACTCCATTATGGACTGAATTGTGTCCCCATTTCCAACCCCCAAATTCATGTTGAAGTCCTAAACTCTCGTACCTTAGAATGTTTCTGTATTTGGAGATAGGGTCTTTAGAGGTAATTCAGTTTAAATGATATCATTCAGATGGTATTCCACTTTTCAGGCAGAAAGTAAAAGGGAAGAACATTTTGTTCACGTATATTTGTTTAGATAGCACGAACAGCGAAAATAAAGGCAAAGATGAGAGCATAGCTTGGCATGCTCTGAGAAGTGACAACACTCTAATTTCTGGGTCATGAAGTTCTGGGAAAGAGAACAGTGGAACAGATAAGCCTGGAGAAACAGACTTAGAGCAAGCAGATCATGGAACCCTTCATTTGTATTCAGATATACTCAGAAATCTGGACTTGACGAGAAGAAAGGCAAAAGTCTACAAAGTCTGCCTTATTGACTATGTGATTTTTGCACAAGTTATTTAAGTTCTTTTTGCCTCAATTTCTTCATTTTTAAAAAAGGGATATCCAATTCATGGGGGTTAGTAAAAGACTAAATGAGTTAATACATATAAAATCCTTAGAACAGTGTGTGACATTTAAGAATTCCTTTTTGTAAAAATTTTTAATGTTTGTTTATTTATTTATTTATTTATTTATTTTTATTTTTTTAAAATGTTTATTTATTTTTGAGAGAGAGAGACAAAGTGTGAGCAGGGGAAGGGCAGACAGAGAGGAAGACACAGAATCTGAAGCAGGCTCCAGGCTCTGAGCTGTCAGCACGAGACTAACGCGGTGCTCAAACTCACAAACTGCGAGATCATGATCTGAGTTGAATTGAAGTTGGACACTTAACTGACTGAGCCATCTAGGCACCCCAATGTTTACTTATTTTTGGAGAGAGAGCACGAGCAGGGAAGGGGCAGACATAGGGAGACACAGAATCTGAAGCAAGGTTCAGGCTCTGAGCTGTCAGCACAAGGCCCTATACGGGGCTAGAACTCATAGACTGTGAGATCATGACCTGCCAAAGTCAGATTCTTAACCGACTGAGCCATCCAGGTGCACTGATACTTAATAACTCCTTTTATTGGATAGATATTAGTGGTATTCGTCAGCATAGGAAACACAGGAAGAACAGCCAGATGAAGAGAAAGATTGGAATTCTCTTTTGGTAACATTATGTTTAAGGAGCGTGGCTATCAATGTGGTAATGACCAAGAGTGAAAAGGAATGGCTTATGGTTTAAGAGAAAGGTAGTAAAGCTATTCTGCTTGGGATTGGGATCCAGATCTGCAGCTTATTGATTGTGTGATTTGGAGCAAATTATTTTAACTCTATCTGAATCATTTTCTTCACCTTTAAAAAGGGACAGACTAACTCATACGGTTTAGTAAGAAGCAAATGAGCAAATACATTTAAAATCCTTAGAGGAATGCCTGCATTTAATACTCCATGAAAATAGCTATAACTATTTTGAGTTTGGATTTCTGGAGAGTAGCTATGTCTGGACAAGTAGCAGAGTAGAAGTCATGGCAAAAGAGACCTTGCAAATGTAATTAATAGTAGTAGTTAAGTATAATAAATGTATTAAATAGATAACAATTATAAACTATGGACAAAATGTAACAAAACAAAACAAAACAAAAACTATTAAAAAGCACTGAAGAGTAAGAGAAACATAATGACCTATTATATTTATATATACCAGGATCAAACAATTGGAAAACAAAACTAAGAAAGAATTCTATTTACAATAGCATCAAAAAAATAAAAACAAACAAACACTTAGATGTAAGTTTAACAAAAGGTATACAAGATGGGGGGGCACCTGGGTGGCTCAGTGGGTTAAGCATCTGACTTCGGCTCAGGTTGTGATCTAATTGTTCCTGAGTTCAGGGCCCCCCCTCTGGCTCTGTGCGGACAGCTTAGAGCCCAGAGTCTGCTTCAGATTCTATGTCTCCCTCTCTCTCTGCCCCTCCCCCTGCTCACGCCCTCTCTCTCTCTCTCAAAAATAAATAAACCTAAAAAGATTTTTTAAAAAGATGTACAAGGCTTATGCCTGAAAATAATAAAATATTGCTGAAAAAAGTAAAAATGATCTAAATTAATGTTAAGTTCTACCATTTCAAGGACTGGGAGACAATATTATCATGATGTCAATTCTCCCCAAATTTATCTATAGATTCAATGCAATCCCAATTAATATGTCAAGAGTCTTTTGCGTAGAAATTAACATTTAAATTTTTCTTAAATATATAGAAGATTAAATTTAGATTAAAATTTATTTTAAATGTATTAAATTTAGGTATTTTGAATTTATTAAAATTTGAATTATATGGCAATGCAAAGGTCCTAGACTAACCAAAGCAAACTTGGGGAAGGAACAACAAAGAGTTTGGATTTTTCTACTGCTATATAACACATTACCATAAATGTATTGGCTGACAACAACCACCATTTTATTATCTCATGGTTTTCATGGATCAAAAGTCCAGGCACAGCATGGATCATCATCTGGGTTTTCTGCTTCGGTTCTCACAAGGCTGAAATCAAGGTGTCAGCCAGGGCTGTGGTTCTGATCCAGATTGTGAGGTCCTCTTTCCAAAATTGTTGGTTGTTGTCAGAATTCATTTCCTTCTCACTTTTCCACATAACCCCCTCCAGCTTCAAGTCAGCAATATCATATCAAATCTTTCTACTCTGAATCTCTTTCTTTTTTGTCCCTGCATGTGAAGTCTCATGTGATGCACTGGACCCACCTGCATAATATAGGATAATTTCTCTATTTAAAGGTTGATGAATTAGTACTGTTAATTACATAGGCAAAGTTCTTGTTGCCATGTATGTACTTTTGTGAGTAAGAGGAAAAATAGTAAGCAACTGAAGGAGCAGCTCAAGTTGGAGGGCATATAATTAATATTAGTGTAAATCTACAAATTAGTAATCTCTTTCAGCCATTTTAACCGGAATGCAAGAAGTAAAGATAGTTGGATTATTCCAAGGTGGCAGTTGGGGTGGTTAACATTGTGGAGGCAATGAAAGGACTTCAGAGACACTGAATGAAATGGTGAAAAGAATAACTGATATGAACTCTGGATGATACACCAAAAATGAAAAGAAAAGAAGTCCATAAGGAAGTTTGAGGGCTGAGTGTCACAATATATTTGAATAAGCGTGTAGTGAAAGTAACAGAAGAAAAGAATTGAAAAGACAGAATTACCCACAAACAAGTATACGAGAACTTAAAATTTAAGAGGTCGGGCAGTTCCAAGTGACAAGGAGGCTTTTACATGTCTATGGAAATGAGTTTACAGGTTGTTGAAATCCAAAAATGTTTATTAGGCAACTGGGAGGTTTGTTCTTATGAATTTGGAAGTTCACTGTGATTATAGCTGAAGTTGGATGGAGAAAAGCCTTACAAACCAGAATATAAACACACAGTGAATGAAGAGAGTAGTCTAGGAGGTAAATTGATGACCAAACAAAGGACAAGGAAAAGATGATGCAATTAGATAGTACCTGATGTGCCAGGTCGCCCATGCTAATTGATACTCTACTGGACCCTGTTGTTCTGTCCTGAACAGTATCATCACTTTTTCAGAGTGAGCAAGAATATTTTAGAAAGCTCATGACCAGCTTTTACCTGATATATAATAAATTCTTTCATTTCAATGTCTCTTTTTTATTCACTCTTAAATACCCTTGGGGGCATTTTATCAACTTTCTAAACTAGAGCTGTATGGTTTCGCTTTCTTTTTTCATTCATCCTCATTCCACAGTAGGATCAGAAACTGCATTCTCAGTAATGACTTCACCAGTTATTGAGATTCATCAAAATGCTTTTAGGTCAAGTGGTTTGATACACTAGTGAAGAATCAACCAAGAGAAAAAGAGCCAAAAAACCGCTTAAGTCTCTAGAAAGATTTTCCTTTTTTGACTCACAGCTCTCTTCTGCATGTTATACAAAATCTTCACTTGGAAACATTTATAATAAAACTCAGTAATGCCTTTTAGGACATATTACCTACATAACCAGAACATTGCCTTATTCCTGTATGTTTTCAAGGATAAGGATAATATCTTTGCAGCAGCTTGCAAGAGAAGATAATTCAGTTAAGATACATTAGGAAGCTCATTTGACTCTGTATCCTCTACAAATTAATGATGCCCAGACAATTTACTCTGATAAAACTAAGCTGATTGAATTTCTGTAACACTGATTTGTACTAGGTTTGTATTTTGACATACTAGTTTTCATTCTCTTTCCAAAATATATTTTTTATTAAATTATAAAAATTTCCAAAAATCATACACACACACACACACACACACACACACATACACATACACACACACACACAGAGAATACATTAAGGAAAATGTTTTTAAATTTTGGAAGAGAAAAATATGGAATATTTTTCATACCTAAAAAGGTATGTAAAGAACCTCAGTAATAGTTCAAAAACTGCTTATAACTAGGAAAAGGCTAGTTATGCTCCTATCTAGTACAAACTATTTTTAAATTTTATTTCTTTATTTAGAGAGAGGGAAAAAGAGAGGGGAGAAAGAGAGAGAGAACACGAGCGGGTGAGGGTCAAAGAGAGAAGGAGAGGGAAAGAATCTCAGACTGTCTGCCAGCACAGAGCTCAAAGCAGGGCTCCAAATCATGAACTCTGAGGTCATGACCTGAGCTGAAATCAAGAGTCTGATGTTTAACTTGCTGAGCCACCCAGACACCCCATAGTTTTTAATTATGGCAGTTAAAAACGTAAATGATTTATTTATTTTATAACTGGAAGTTGTACCTTTCAATCCCTTTCACCTATTTCACCCCTCCCCCAACCGACCTTCCCTCTGGCAACACAGAGATGAAAAATACAGCATCAGGAATACAGTCAATACTATTGTAATAATGTTATATGATGACAGAAGGTAACTACATTTAAGGTGGTGAGCAGTGAGTAATTTATAGAATTGTCAAATCATTATGCTGTATACCTGAAACTAATATGGCTTTGTATGTAAACTATACTTCAATAATATTTTTTAAATGTAGATGAAATAAGCAGCTATATGGATCTCTAAGTATTTCTAGACAAGCCTTAAACATATGTATTTACATTGTTAGGACAGTTAAAATGTCACCAGGATAAAACTGTGACTGATAAGCTTCAATCTAATATCAGATGAAATTGTGTGAAAGACTTTGAAAGAGTTAAAAAACAAAAATTACTGGGAATGCTGTCTGGTGCACCCTTCAGAGTTATCTGTACCTTTGAATCTCTTTGATCTATTTTACAACTTTATAAGTTGAATAAAACTATGAGTAATACAGATGATTCTTGTCTATAAAATATAAGTGAATTTTGTCCAATGGAGTTATAATTGATTATTGCCAGTGGATAATGACTAAATTTATTGTGGCATTCCTGATTGCCTTTACATATACATGCTCTTAGAACTGTCATTTGAACTGGTTATAACATCTTACTGGTTCTTTAATGAGTTAAATAAAATCTTTGATGTGTTTATTTTATATTTGAGTAACAGTTTTACATTCTAAAAAAATATCCTTTGTAAAGAAGATGTGGTATATATACAATGGAATATTATTCATCCATAAAAAGAAGGAAATCTTGCTATTTGCAACAACATGGATGGACTTGAGGACACTATACTAAGTAAAATAAGTCAGAAAGACAAATATTACATGATCTCACTTATATGTGGAATCTAAACAAGCAAACAAACAGAGCTCACAGATATAGAGAACACATTGGTGCTTGCCAGAGGTAGGGGATGGGGAGTGGGTAAAACATAAGGGGTCAAAAGGTACAAACTTCTAGTTATAAAATAAGTAAGTTATGTTATGTAATGTACAGCATGGTGACTATAGTTAATAATACTTGTATTGCATATTTAAAAGTTGCTGAAAAATTAATCTTAAAAATTCTCATCACAAGAAAAACAATTGTAATTATGTGTGGTGACAGATGTTAACTAGATTTAGTGTGATTATTTTGCAATATATACAACTATTAAAACATGGTGTATACCTGAAACTAATAGAATGATATATGCTAATTATACCTCAACAAAAAGATCCTTTGAAAATTAATAAAGCTTAAATTTACTAAATATAGCTTAATATATTTTGAATCAATACTAATTTTCAGAGCCTTTGCACAAAATCATCATGAAACAATTTTAAAAAATTTTGCATTTGTTTGAGACTTCTTTGTCCAAAATGTATTCTGAGAATTAGTGTTCTATGGCATTTCTTAAAAAGCAGGGTCTGTGGTAAAATGCATGTTTAAATGCAATTTTTTTTTCCTGGTAGTATTCCTAATGGTCTTTGACATGTGACTATCCACTGAGCTTTACAGGCCATTTCTAATCCAATTTAATGTGTCTTAAGCAATTATACTTTCAACTACTCTCCTTCATAAACCTCTGCTATAAGTAGAACAGTATTCACTACATCCTTCCTCTCCCCCCACATTTCCTATTCTGAGCTCTCCAATTTTGCTCATCCATTCTGCCAATAATAATTTCCTCTCAGCTTTCTTCTTTTCCAAATTCAAATTCACAGTTGTAAATTTCCTACTTCTATGTTTTGTAATGATTCAAATATACGCTTATATTTGCCATCGAACTGTGGGTTCTTAGAGGATCAAGAATATGTTATTAATTTTTGTATGAGTGTAGGGAAGAACTGAAATGAATTAACACTTTGATGTTTAGTCATGCCCTCTCATTGAAGGTATCTTAGATTACTCTCATCTATTTATTACCTAACATTTAACTGGAAATTTTAATTTGGTCCTTTGATAGTTTTTATATTATTGTTTGTATTATTATTTAACTCTGGCAGTCTTATTGCCTGATGACTTGTCTCCCACCTAGATTTTCAGTTTCTTGGGGCCAAATAATCTTTATGTCCCCACATCACCTGACATCTTCAACAGCTGAAAGTGAATTACCATGTGAATAATTCTAACTGAAGGTAAGTATTCCTCAGTAGAAATGCCAATGATCACAGAGAGAAAGAAAAAAATGTGTACGAAAAATTTATTATCATGAAATAAGAACTTGTTCTTAGATATGTATTTTAATAGCTAGTGAAGCTATTCTCAAAACTTGGTTAATTATATTTTTCGTATATATTTAATAATTCTGGCTACATATCTTCACTATACAAGCATTTTGAAAAAAAATATGCATTATTTCTCATTGCAATGGCTTAAGTATTAATAAGTGTACTTAATACTTAAGCTACTGGTGTGTAGGTATGGTAAAATTTGCCATGCCCCACAGGCTCTAGTATATGACTTAAATGGACTTACATACAACCATTACTAATTTAAAAACTGGGTTTCAAATTTTTTTTACCTATTTTCTTCAATAAATAATTATGCAATAATTTAGGAAGCTAAGCATTGCACTAGATACTGATATGGAAAGATAGACCAAATTATCTTATAAAGGACTTTACAAGCTAACCTGATATAGGCTGTCTTGGGATAACTGCTATAACTGAGATTTAAATAAAGTGTTATGAAAGAACTGCCAAATGAAAAGGATTAATTCAGACTGGAAGAGCAGTTGGGGAAGGGTTAAAAGTGAAGATACTATTTCAGTTGGTTACTAAAGGATGAATAATAAAAGGATGAATTTTGTCAGTGGTTTTACAGTTCATACACTGCATGATGGGAACAAATAGGGGCGAAACACAGCCACACTCAGCAAGCATCAGCCACTAGTGATGTTGTCTCCCTGGAGAAACAATAACAAGTATTTTATCCTCACCAATCTGAGCACTCCAAAGCATTCTAATTTGCATAATAACATAGAGGCTTGTGTTGCATAATAATATGTAGATAGCACTAGCATTGTGGGCTGGTAGTACCCTTTCAGAGTGCATATTTGAAGAAAAAGGGGATAGTATTAGTAAGGTCACTGGAATAAGAAACTCCAAATCTGAGTAGGGAGTAGAGAATAATTTAATCTATCAGGAGCAAATCCAGAGTGCTGTTAGGGGAAGAGAGAGGAAGCTATGGCAAAAAATTTAGTGAGATGAGTCTGGATAAACTGGAACAAAGCATGATGTCTGAAATGCCACTTAGATTAGATTTTATACTGTGGACAACTGCAAGGTGTCAATATACACAAGTAGGAAGTAACATGATCAGAACTAATTTTTTTAAATATGAAATTTATTGTCAAATTGGTTTCCATACAACACCCAGTGCTCATCCCAACAGACGCCCTCCTCAATACCCATCACCCGCCCTCCCCTCCCTCCCACCCCCCATCAACTCTCAGTTTTTTCTCAGTTTTTAAAAAGAAAAAGAAAAAAAGGGAAAAAGAAAAAAATAATAAAAAAGGCTAGAGAGGGAGGGAGCCAAAACAAAAACAAAAGATCTGGGGCGCCTGGGTGGCGCAGTCGGTTAAGCGTCCGACTTCAGCCAGGTCACGATCTCGCGGTCCGGGAGTTCGAGCCCCGCGTCAGGCTCTGGGCTGATGGCTCGGAGCCTGGAGCCTGTTTCTGATTCTGTGTCTCCCTCTCTCTCTGCCCCTCCCCTGTTCATGCTCTGTCTCTCTCTGTCCCAAAAATAAATTAAAAAACGTTGAAAAAAAAAAAAAAACCAAAAGATCAGAACTAAATTTTAAAGACAGTTGAGGCTTGTAGGATGGAGAACCGTTATGGGTTGAGGAAAGGAAGTCTGGAGAATGGAGATGGAACTTTCACCTGGAAGGATAAAAGGTGAATTCTTAAAGTGATTATGATAGTGTGCATTAGAATGGGAAAAGCGGGATCTAAAAGGATCAATTTGAGACTCCCTTTAGCAGAAAAATGATTAAGGAAACATACTGGATATTGGTGATGAGACAGACTGAGTTGTAAAAGACACTGGGATTTCTAGCACTGTCAAGAGGCTAATGATGATGCCATTTATGATAAGAAAAACCATTGTTTGAGAAGCAGGTTTTACCGGATAAGGGTGGAGGTAGGATGAGATACAGGATACAGTCGTTTTATTGTCTCATCTTTGTTGTAGTTTCTATTTTTTCAAAGAGAATATATCATGTTGTAAACAAAGTACTGTTTTTTAGATCTCAGCACTTAGTATGCAATATTCACATGTAATGGACTTAAAAGTTTCTATATTATCAAGACTGTACTTACCTAATTTCCTTCATTTGTTTAAGTAAATTCTTTTGATATTTTTCCATTTCTAGTCTTTGCTGAACAATCAGACTTTTCTCTTGTAAGACAGCCTGATTCTTCCTCAATCTGTCCATTTTAATCATTCCTTTGCATAAAAGAGTGCGCTCATTACTTATGTTTTGAATTAATAAACGGTCTTCAGCCTTTTGTTTTTTTTCATTCAGAAACCGAGCTCTCCTCTCTTTAACTTTTTCAAGGTAATTGAATCTGTCCTGCCAAAGTTGTTGTAAACCATTCCGAATTGTCTCATTATCTTTTGCAATTAGTTTTTGTGCAGCATTTTTTTTCTTATTTAAGCTTTCTTGAACAGCTAAGCTAACTCCTTCCTGGGCAACTTGTGCCAGAGTTACAGCTGTTGTTTTTTTTTTTTATGGCTTTCCTGCTTCTTTTGTTCGGAATAACATTTATCAATATCACAAAGTGTTCGGAGTTTTATACCAGTTCTGTGTGTTATAAAAAACTCTTTTCTTACATTACCCTTCAACAGCATGTCCTTTTTTGTAATTTCTGGTTTTTGATGAGTGGTAGAAAATGGCTGGACATATGTAGGAAAATAATCTTGCTCCTTTTCTTTCAATAATGCAGCATACTTGAGTGAACCTGAAGTATGTATGGGTAGTTTGAACACTGATATCCTAAAGCTGGCATCCAATTCTTCACCTTCAGTTTCATCTTCAGATTCCTTCTGACCTACACCACAGGGAAGACAAATATAATACAATATGTAAGTGCTAAGCACAGTTTATTTTCTGTCCCTATTATTTTGAAAGCTACATTAATAAAGTTGACAAAAACCTGTCATTGGCTTTATTAAGAAACATTTTTCCCTACTGATGTTCTTTTTAAACTTGTGTTTTAATAGTGATTTTGGAGAGGGAAATCACTATTGAAACCATTTAACATAAAAATGCACTGATTCCTATATTTCCTACATTATCTCTCACAATTACTTAACCTGCAATAACTCAATAGCAGTATCTTATCTTACATTTAGTACTTCACCATGCATATTATTTTTAGATAAATTTATTATCTCATATTGCAAAGGAATTTGTAATCCATTTTACCATATTTGTCTTAATTCTGGTGGGAACTAATAGCGGCCATTAACATTGCTTTTTCTTATATTTGACACATGAATCCCTCAGCCTCCTTTGCTATTATGTGTGGTGATGAGACTAAGTCCTCTACAGTGAAATGTGGGCAGAAGTGATATGTGTCATTTCCAGCTCAAGGCTATTAAGAAACAAATATATCTTTTCTATATTTTCTTTCTTTTTCCGACTCACTGTACAGAGATAAGAATAAGGCCCTAGAAGATGGTGAATCCACAAGGTGGAAAGTCCCTGGCTCCCAGGATCACTGCTTGAAAAACTACTCACTGGCCAGGATTAGTCAAACTTGGACTCATATAAACTAGAAATAAATGGCAATTATGTTTGAGTCAATATATATTTCTGGGTCTATTTGTTATTATAGCCAACCTAACTAATATAATAGCTTGAATCACATTATTGTTCACATATTTATTTTCTGACAAACCTATTTATGAATTCAGTTTCAGGTGGCAAATACAGGTTAGAAAAAAGTTATGCTTATTAGTCTTAGAAAAAAGATGTTTTCCATATTTGACTAATTCCCTCTATTAAAATTACATCTCTACTAACCGTAGTCTACAAAGATTTTAGTTTTTCTAATAGAAAATTCTCTTAAAGTCTTTATATGTCAAATGCAAATCTGATGGTGGAGGTTTTACGGAAGTTGAGGTGATCATAAAGAAGGTAGGACCTGTGGTCTAGGCAGGCAGTAGGGAAGAAGCAAATAGGCATGATTTTCATTAGAGGCCATAAGAACGTCAACATCAGAAAAGGAAGCAGAGGCGAAAATGAAGTAGAAAATCAAGTCTAGCAAATAAAAAAGGTAATTCACCAGAATACAAAGTCATCCAGGGGAGCCTGGGTGGCTCAGTCAGTTGAGACTCTGACTTTGGCTCAGGTCATGATCTCACGGTTTGTGAGTTCGAGCCCCAAGTCAGGCTCTATGCTGACAGTTCAGAGCCTGGAGCCTGCTTAGAATTCTGGGTCTCCCTCTCTCTCTGCCCCTCCCCCACTCATGCTCTGTCTCTGTCTCTCTCTCTCAAAAATTCATAAATATTTCAAAAAAATTTTTTTAATTAAAAGAAAAAAAGTTTGGGTCCAAAGCAAGGCACTAGATACAAAGGGACAAAATCCAGAATTTCAGTTGTAAAGTAAATAGGGTATGGTCTGGGTAACTACCTAGAAAAAGTACTCTCTTGTGTTATTTCATTTTATGTATAAATCCTGGCATGAGAAAGCTGGCCAAGAATAAAAGACCAGGGATAGAAAATACAAACTAATAAATTAAAGTTCTGGTTATTAATTTCAATTCATATGGGGGATTGGGATTTTTCCCCCCATACCATCAAAATATGTTCCAACACCAACTGGGTGTCCTGAAATTCAACTCAAATACGACAACATCTACCTGGAGACAGGATCACATCCCACAGGTTAAAGGTTCAGTCCTAAAAGAATCCCTATCATCTTCAGATGCCAATAAATCCAGGTTATCACCCGTGCTTCTGACCAACTGGCTATAGATTGGAGGTTCCACGAACCTCCTCTGGGTTCAATTTGCTAGAGTGGCTCAAAGAATTCAGAGAAACATTTTACTTACTATATTATTGGTTTATGGCAAAAGGATGTAACAACTCACCAGCAGCCAAACAGAAGAGATACATAGGGGAAGGTATGGGAAAAGGGCACAAAGCTTCCATGCTCCTTCTCCAAGCACATCACTGTACAAATCTCCACGTATTCACCAACATGGAAGCTCTCAGAACCCAGTCCTTTGGACTTTTTATGAAGGCTTCATTACATAGGCATGGTTGATTCAATCATTGGCCATTGAGGATTGAATTCGATCTCCCTCCCCTCTCCTCTTTCCAGAGGTTGAGGGTTGGGACTAAAATTTCCAAACCTCTAACCATGTGGTTGGTTCTCCTAACAACCAGCCTCATCCTTGGGTGTGATCTAAAAATCACCTCAGTAAGTAAGTTCAGCTTCTTTAATTATAGTTTTGTAGGTGAAAAGCTCAACTTGACTAAGATGAATAAATATGTTGGTACTACCTACTGTGAGCTAGAATCTTCAAAAAATGAAGACAGTGATGGCTCAAGAAACCTTATAGTATAGTAGTGGAGGCAAATAAGTGAAGCAGATTTCTTCAAAATATTGTGGCAAATGTTAAGATAAAAGTATGTATACACAGGAAGTGTTGAAAACATAGAAGAAAGACACTTCACCCTATCTGGGTTAGGGTAGGCAGTTGTCAGCAAAACTGCTCTGGAGAAGGTAACAGCTGGGTTACTTTTAAGAAGAGTATTTGTTTTACACTTGTAATACTATAAGGCCCACCTTTTGCGTATATGGGAAAATTCAATTAATTTCCAAAGGTGTGGGCAAGAGAATAGGAAACAAGGCATTCCCAGGGGATGGGAGGAGAGTGACAATCAAAGATGCAGAAGTGAAAAAAAGAAAAAATATGTGAAATTTTGTTTTATAAAATATAAAGTCAGAAGCTATCATAAGCAGTTAGTTGCTACAGATGTCTAGCAAACAGGTAGGTAAATGAGCTGAATCTAAATGATGTAAGAGAGGGCATATCTGGAGACAAATATTTGGAGCCAATAACAGAGATTTTTAGGTAAAACTATAAGCATAGTCAAGAGATAAAAGAGAAGTAAGGATGAAACATTGGGTAAAATTAATTTATTTTATTTTTTAGTTTTTAAATGTTTATTTATTTTTGAGGTGGTGGGGGTAGTGATCAGGGAGGGGAAGAGACAGGGACACAGAGGATCTGAAGCTGGTAGGGAGAGGATTGATGTGGGGCTCAAGCTCACGAACTGTGAGATCATGACCTGAGTAGAAGTCTTAGGCTCAACCGTAGTCTGTGCCACCCAGGCACTCCAGGGAAAATGAATTTAATATGTACATACAGGTAAGCCAAAAAAAAAAAAAATCTGTGGCTATAGTTTCTTCACATGTGAGCTTCTAAAGAAATCATTATATGTAAAGAGCCTTGGTATACGTATACACCCATTTGCCCGTTTTTACCTATCGTCTGGTGAAATTTATTAACAGTGACTTCTTTCAGTCTCAGAAGCAATCCAATTTGGAAGATAAATTATACAGTCAACTTAGCTATAGGGACATTACCAAACAACAGACAAGAAGTAGGAGAGTTAACACTGTGCTGTCTGCATTGTCTTAAGTTACATTAATATCTTAGTGCAATGCCCAAGACTTGGTAGATATAAAATAAATAATTTTGTTCATACATAGGTTATGAGATCCTCAAGGCTCTATGAAAGTTGAGACAATGCTGGTTTTGTTCACTACTTTATACTAAGCACTTAGCAGAATGTTTGGTGGATGACAGGTTTTCAACAAATAGGTGTCTAATGAATATTTTTTCTACAGACAGCTAAGCCAATTCAGAGATACTCTTCATTTTGGGTGCTGGGTTGCTAATTTTAAATTTATACTTTCATCTTTTGTACCCTTAATTTTTATATTATTCCCTTTAAGAACCCTATACGTCAAAAATAATAGTCACAACTTCTGAATAAGACTTAAATACTTCTACTTCTTATCTTTGGCTCATGCTATCCCCACTTATTTGAAAGGTTCCATTTGCATCACCATCTATAAAAAGATTATTCATCTTGGGGCACCTGGGTGGCTCAGTCAGTTAGGCATCTGATTTTGGATTTTGGCTCAGGTCATGATCTCAGGGTTCGTGAGTTCAAGCCCAGCATCAGGCTCTGAGTTAGAGGGTGGAGCCTATCTGGAGTTCTCTTGCTCTCGCTCTCTCTCTCAAAAATAAATAAACTTAAAGATATTTTTAAAAGATCATGCATATTGAATAACATAAATACTGTCATTTATTGAACCCTTTCCATGTGGTAGTTACTAGGCTTACTTCTTTACATATATATTTAACATTTATTCAATATCGATAACCTTCTAAGGTAGATGTTATTGACCACAAATCGTAACAATACAGCTAATATATGCTGAGTTTTTGCTATGTGTCACATTGCTCTGCATCCTTTAAATTATCTCATTTAGTTTCCTTAACAATCTTAGAGTTAAATACTGTACTATTTTTCATCCCCATCTATCAGATAAAAAAACTGAGTCTTAAAGAAATAGCCAATATGTTGGAGTAAGATCCTAACATACAGGTGATGTCCAACAACAAAACAAAGAACAAATACCTAAGAACTCTGGAGAATAAACAAAAACAAATAAAATGTGACCTGTTAAAAACATCAATATTCTCATAACAGAATCCAAAGTATATAACATTTGTGATGCCCACCATATAATCCAAAAAACATAATATGAATGAAAAGTATATCATGAAAGGTATCACTTCATATAAAATACAGAAATCATGCAACCATATAGGCCATTTAGACTCTTCCTTTCTGTATTTTATGTGAAGTAGTATAATATTAAGTAGATTGTGCAAAGTTAGATTTATATTATAATTTTTAGAGAAAATAAATATATAATGCAAAGAGGTCCAACTAAAAATCCAAAGGAAAAATTAAAACAGATTATAAAAATATTTGAATAAACAAAAAGAAGATAAGTAAA